AATTAAATTAATATATTTTATAGTAATTTTATATTTTAATAATATAAAAATAAATATTCTTCAAATATTAACTATTAATTTTTCTCCTTAAAACTCAATCTCGCCCTGCCCGGAGGCCCGAAAGATATTAAAAAAAACCCTATAGGTCGGGTCGGGATCCGTCGAGTTCATATTTTGACCATCTATTTCCACTCCTTATTTATATGTAGGAAAGATGTAAAGATTCACTTAGAAAAAATACAACAATAACAACAACAAAAACCCTATTCCCATATGCAATGGGATAAGGGAGGTAGGTTAGTAGGCTGCCCCAACGCCAGATTGAGAGCAGCTTCCGTGGAAACCTCCGGCAATTCAGAAAATTAAAAATACAGATTAAATACAATGCATGTATAAATAAATAAATACATATTGAACAGTCTTCATATGCAGTCATTCATATGAGCGTCTGTAATAGGATGTATAAATTTTATTGGTTAAATCCATGGCGTGGTAAACCGAGTCCATTTAATAATTTTTCCTCTCATCATTTTTAAATCAAATATATTATTTGATTTCCCCTCCTTCACTTCATTATATTTCATTCTAGCGTAGAATATTTGAATATTCATTGTCAAATATTTGAGAATCCTTAGAATGGGAAATTATTTTAGGACCCGGTTCACCACCTCATCCATGATCCCAGTGAATGACATCCACAAATTTTAAAATAACTTTTAAATAACCCACCTGTTTTTTTACATATAGGAAAGAGGTGAAGATTCACCTTGAAAAAAATGAGATGGACAAATATTATTAATTGGAACTACGGATGACGGGTGAGTTGGGTCGATCTAATAATTTTACTCTAAAATATATACTATCACTTGTAATGGTCTCAATATCAATCAATAATAATAGTCAACAAAAGTCTCAAAGTTAGATAAAAATAAAAGTTAGATAATAATTTGTTTTCTTTTACATCTCTATAATTAAGCAATAGAAAAGTATATTTAGGTGATGAAAAATGAGTGAAAACAACCAATAAATGGAAAAGAGGACTGTAGTATATGCAAATGTAGGCCTGATATCATAAAACAAAACCCTATTGATGTTCACTGGGTCACCATCTTTGATTTCCACTCATCTGATGGAACCTGGGATGAACCATCCACCTGTTTCCTTGAAAACCCTATTGTTTTCAGTACGCACAATCGTCCTAGAAATACAAGATTTACACATAAGATCCAATCCCAACCCTTGCTTGAGTTCTTGCATTCTATTCCTCTCCTCCTCCGTTGCCGGCTTCTCACAAGACACTTCCGCCAGGCACAGCTTTGCTTCATCTATTGAAAAATAAAACATCAAATTGGTGTTTTCAAAGAAAAAAAAACCTCTCCTGGTAAGCAGCATAGAGTGGTAACCTAAATTCCAGCTCGTGCTTGGTCCAACAACTGGCTCCACGGCGAATAGCGTGCAATTCGATCATTGTTCCGGGTCGGCTAATGACCCCCACGATGCAGTCTTTCGACGTCGGCGGAGCCGAAAGGATTGCTATGTTCTTGGGGATTACTGTGTGAGGGAATGTCACCGGAATGTCGATCATGGCACGGGACATAGGGCAAAAGAAGAACATCGAGCCTTCACGGAATAGCAGGACCCACCCGTCACTCGATGCTAGGCATTCTGCTCCCTTTAGTTCTGGACATCAAATCTGTATTTTTAGTCAAATTTTCAGTGGCCAATGTGCACTGAGAATTATCAATATCGTACATTACGAAGAACCATGGCTTGCGATCCGGTAAGGCTTCGATCTCGGCCGAGGCAAACCAAGAGGCTGCGTACCAATCCTTGCTGACGGCTCGGAATCTTAGAAGCTCGATTAAGCCTAAACGATCAGCAATGGATGATAAAAGAGGAAGATCGGTCCAGTCCCTGGTTGAGTACATTTGGTCACGTTTCATGAACCTGAAATACTATATGAATTGGTTGATGGATTTTGCAGAGAAACTATAGTATTATGTTTTACACTCACAAGTGTTCCTTCCAACTAAGATCTCTTATTCAACACAAATTTATTTGTGATTCCAATTAACCAACAGAACAAAACATAGCATTTTTTTTAAATAGTTGTAATATATAAAAGGGTAAAATACACAAATAGTCTCCCGACTATATGATATTATTGTAGTAAATTTGTTGATTGTTAAAAACTACAAAATAGTCCCTAACTATAGAGAGTTGCTTTGTTGAGTCCTTTGAATATTGAAAGTTATAAAATGATCATCCGATAATTCATTATGTTTTAAACCCATTCTTTTTTGTTAAAAAATTAATTGCCATCTCAGCTAGACGTTAACATGCTAACAAGATATACCAATCCTTTGAGATTATGAGATAAGATTTTATCATATATCAATTAACAAATTAAAGTCCAACTTAGACTATCATTAAAATTTTAACAGAAAATGATAAGTTTGAAACAAAATGAATAATCGGATGATCATTTTGTAAATTTTAATAGTCAATGGGCTCAAGAAAGCAACTCCTTATAATCGGAGATAATTTTATAACTTTTAATGATCGATGGACTCGACAAACTAATAACTTATAATCAATGAATCATTTGTATAATTTACCCTATAAAAAAATACGGGATAAACTTTTAAATCGATAACCATATTATTTGTTGCTCGTTATATTATTAAATTGACATCGAAAAGTTAATTTTTTAATGTATTATTAATTATTATAAATAATAATAAAAGTGTCAATCAAAATATAATATTTAAACCATCAGGTTGGTTCAAGCGGTAAGCAGTTTGATTTCGCTTAAATAGGTTTCAAGTTCATGTCCTTGTGAATGCAGAAAACTCTCGCTGGGAGACTTGATCACCAAAATCAGGTATACGACTAAGATCAGTCCGGATTAATAAAAAAGAAACCTTGAGAACCGAAAGGGCAAAAAAATGAAACATGTTTAATTGAAAAATCAGAAAATAATTTATGAAAAACAAAAACAGAATAAGTAAAACATTAGCTTGTTGCCTGCACATTAGAGGTTGGAGAAATCATATCCTGTTCCTTTTGCCTGCATACTATAAGATACTATTTTATTAAATCTTTGATTATTAAAAGTTATAAAATAGTCCCCTAATTATAGGAGTTGCTTTGTTGAGTCCTTCAACTATTAAAAATTACAAAATAGCCATTCGTCTATTTATTATGTTCCAAACTTATTTTTTTCTATTAAAAAAATAATGATCGTCTGAGTTGTACGCTAACCTGTTGACTAAGATGTGATAAAATATGATCTCATAGTCTCAAATGACTATCATATATCAGTTAACATGTTAAGTTCAGTTTAGACAATCATTAATTTTCTAATGGAAAAAGACGAGTTTGGAACATAATGAATAGTCGGATGACCATTTTGTATTTTAATAGTTAAGAGACTTAATAAAACAATATCTTATAGTCGATGAACATTTCTATATTTCACCCTTAGATTAAAACATGTATGTTTTTTACTTTTAAAATGTCGAACATGTTTTTCGATTAAATATGTAAGATTTGACATGCACAACAATTGGTGTTCTGATACAATATTGATTATTTGGATACTTAATTAGAATAGTTTGAAGTTTTGAGATTAATTTAAAATAAAGTCTATAGTCCAAGGACACCTGTGCAATTAAGCCTTAAAAGATAAAGAAAGACGGCAAAAGAAGGCAAAGAGCGGAGGAGGCAGTAAAGAATGTTGATGACACTTGTGTCCCATCAGGTCTCTCGACTCATGAATATTTGCTTGCATCTTGTTGTCTGATACTCATATATGATATATGTGCACCTCTAAAAGCAAAAGCAAACATAAATAAATAAATAATAAAGCGTAAAGTGTACAGAAGGTCACTAAACTATGCTTAAACAATTATTTTGGTCACTTAACTTATAACAATGATAAAATAATCATTAGATTCCTCAAACTATTACAAAATGATCATTTCAACGTTATAATAAATTGTAAAATTGTAATGATTATTTTATAATGTTTGATAAAATTTAATGATCATTTTGTAACCACTCAAACAATTCATGCTTATTTGAGCATAGTTAGATGACTATTAATGTATTTTACTCGTAAAGAAATAAATAAACCCTCCACTTAATCGCTCAACCACCATCTTTGAATGGGACATATACCATCAATCTCACCATCTCCATTCATTAATTCATGTCAAAATAACAAAGGGTATCGCAGTTTCCTCTGCCATTATAATTCTGTTTAATAATGGGGAATGCAGCTTCTTGTGCACCGTCGATCATCAAGTGGCGGAGCAGTGAGAGTAGTGTTCCCAGATGGGAACTTGCGGATATATAGGAAACCACTCAAAGCAGCCGATCTGATGGTGGAGAATCCAGGCCAATTCGTGTGCGATTCCAGCTGCTTAATAGTAGGTTCCAGGGTTCATGGATTAACGGCGGATGATGAGTTGGAGTGACGCCAGGTTTATTTTCTTCTCCCCGTGGACTTGCCTTACTCGGTGCTGACTCAAGAGGAGATGAAACATGCCACCTTCAACATCGGCAAGCTCATTACTGACTTTTGTATTTTCCCATTCGAGGCAAAGACGGCACCTCAGAGCTCAGCGGGCGACGGTGTGGATGGTTCCGACGAGAGGTTTTCGAAGCAGGGATCGTGGAAGCCGGCGTTGAAGACCATTCTCGAAACACCCTCCTTGTAGGCATTATCGACCAACCAATTTTCATATTATATAGTATAATACTATATATAGTCTTTTGAATATTGTTTGTTTGGTTGAATATTTATTGTTCTCATTTGTAGGGAACATCCATTAAAAATAGTTACTGATTTTTTCATTTTTTTTTTTCAATCAAGTCCTATATTTATAGACAATTAACTGATCCAAAAGTATTTCTTTAGGAGCTTAAAATAAGCATAGCAATATATGGGGGCAAAATAAAGGAAGAAATGACAGAGTGGCCGGCCAGACAATCAAACACATAATTTTAAAGACAAGGTGCAATATCTTAGTATTTGAGATGGACAGTGACCCTCAGCAGTGTCTCAGCGCCATCGATGACATGTTGGCCAGGTGGTATAAGAGGTCGGACCTCCGCAATACCACAAGCATTCTTAAACCTCCCGGTTCCACCCGTCACTGACACATGTGACATCGTGCTTCCGACCTTGTACACCCCGTAGAAGTTGAGGTTGTCGTTGTATTCCCCGCCTTCGATCATGGCAGTGAATGCCATCATCTGGGTTGTTCCATCGGCCGAGCTAGCCACGTAAACACCCTGAGCTTTTCCTATGGTATGTGACCCCAAATCAGGGCTAGCAGTGAGTATGTCGTCGATGACCGTGATCGTTCCGAATCCTAGCCCCAATCCATCCGGTCCAAGGGGGACCTGAGGCTGACCGTTTTGGTTCGGGTTGCTGGCGAAGGCCGTGCCCGCTAATCCGGTCCCCAAAGGGAGACCGGTGAGGCCATTGACGGTGGGAATAGCACCATTTGCATTAGGGATGGCGACACCGCCTTGTGGGGGCACGAACCCAACAGGCTTAGCAAAAGGTACCTGACCACTATATATGTTTCCGAGTAAACCAGTTATGGGCCTAGCCGTGGGACTACTTCCCCCTAGGATATCATGCATGTAGAACTCAAGAACCGGCTCTTCTGCTGCTGCTGCTGCTGCTGCTGGGTTTGCTGCTGGGTTTGCTACTGCCAAGCAACGCCCCACGTAGACTGCAGCAATTAGAAATGTAATAATGAAAATCGGAGACTGCTGCATCAACATGTTGTAGCTTTTGGTTCTGTGATTAATAGCCTGGTGTTTAGGGTTTTCTAATTAGTATGCCACAGGCTTGCTCCTTAAATAGAGATGATGGCACATCACCCTATACATGGAGTTGTTGGTGTTAACATTAGTTACGTGCAGATATACCTCTTGGTGTATTAGTTAACATTTTCATCAAGGAAAGAGAATTGCCTACTAATGCTCGGTTTAGATTATATTCGGAGTTGAAGCAAACAAATTTCGAATTTATCGTTAACCTCGTTGGTTGATCGTAGGTGACTATCCATAACTTTTGAACTCTTGGACGTACCATTTTGCTTTTTTACTTGCATTCAAGCTTCATGGTGGCTATAGGGGTCCATTGAGCACTTGGATTATCATCAATGAATTGATATTACTATGTTTCAGTTGAAGAAAATGCTTTGGTGTTTCATTAATTTCAACCGCCCATTGGCCTTTAGTATGCTTTTGATATGAATTTATTATATTGGATTGGATCATCATTGATGCATGGATTTGGTGGAACTGGAAAATGGGGGTACGCTGTGGAGTAGTTGAATTTGTTGGATTTGGTTGACTTTTATGTGTAATTTGAGGATAAAGAAGATGAAATTTTGACGACAGGTTGTTGATGGTGGCCATAATTGCCGGTGATTGAATAGTAGTAGTGTGAAGCATCATTAATGTCAATGGTGTGTCAACATACACATACATACAATTTGATGTCTATAACCTAAATAACCAAGCTTAAAATGATTGTTCTATTATAAATAAAAAAAACTTTGATGATTATTTTTGTAATTTTCCATACATAATGAAAATTTTCAATCATAATTTATCTAATTTTATTTTTATTAATATGAGACAAGTACGGAGCATTATATATTCAAAGATAAATTATCAATCTTTAACTCTCATATCTCTTGTATTTATGATGCTCGAACTCATACCTTCAAAAAAAATAACAATTCTTTTAGTACGAAAACTACCTAGTCCGTGCTCATATAACCATTTCTTATATGTAAAATAGAATCAAATGAAATATATGTCATAAATGTAAAATCAAAGAGCATGACGATCTAATAATTTCTCAAACTTGTTTGAAAAATGATTACAAGTTCAAGCTTTCCAATTTAAAGACATGAATTATATTTTAATTAAGAAGAAAGACATTTAAAAAATGCAAAAAACAAAAATAAAATATTGGTAAGAAGAAAATGATTCAAATAGATGCCAAATTAATGGCCTTTAAAGATGGAATTAAATTAGTAAATGGACAAAGCGATGGATTAGTTTCTAATTATGCACTGAGAAAAAAATATTGAAGGGTGAGCAGACAAGTCAAAAGGGGTACACTTTATCCAACGCCACCGCTACATATCCCCGTGAGCGACACCGGGAATCTACAAAGAGCCCCGGCCGTCGATGCCTTTTCATCTTCTTCATCATCATCATCGGCCGGATGAGAAGCCACCGACGCAGGAGGCAACACCCTCCCATCAGCAAACAACGACCGTCCTTTCCTCGCATCATGATGCTCATCGTGCGAAGTCCCAATCACTCCCTCAAGCTCCGCCTCCGCACCGTAAAACGCGCCGTCTCCGAACCTCCTCTCCACCTCCAGGAACTCTCCGAGTGAAGCGGGCTTTGAATCCCCGTCCCTGCATATCTGCCACCACTTCCTTCGCCGCCTCCCTAGAAGCTCCGACCCGAAAGCCGCCGTGAGCGCCCTCCTCTTCTTGGGTTTCGACGCCGTCGCCGGATCCGAGCCGGCGCTTGCCTGTTGCGTCTCGCGATGGTGCCGGGAAGGAGCTCGAAAAGTGATAGCCGGAAAACTCACTCCCATCAATGTTCCCAATGTAGTGCTTCTATCATGGAAGAAAGACCCTGTCGACTTCATTCACACACGAGATTGCATGAAGGAAAGATTAAGCTGAACCCGAAATAAAAGCGTGGGGAACTTGAAAACAGGTGATGAAAACTTACCTCGGTGTCGAGATCAGAGGAGGAGACGGAGGAGATGGTGGGGGAGGACGTCGGCGGTAGCAGATCTGAGGCTGGATCTAGCATATTGTTAATAGAATTTAGATGGGATTTGGATGGATTAATTGGGATAGATAAATAAAGCGTTGTTTTCTCTCTTTAGCTTTTGGATTTATGAATGACATTATCATTATTGTTGCCTTGCCATTTGTCCACCCATCTTCCTCCCTTGTTCTTTTTATTTCATTCAATTCAATTTTTTTAATTTATCTACATTATATTGTTTAATTAATTCAGATGAAATATTAACAATTTTTTTAATTCAGTTTGCTCTTTTCAAAAAGATTATGATTTAAACTCCTGATTTATTTAAAGAATTCAATGTTTAATTTTACTATATCAACTAATTATTAACATCTTCTTTACCCTGCTGAGTATTCAGAGGTTATTTATGGGAAAAAAAATACAATTAAGATAATTCATTTTTCCTACAAAAATCTTAATCGAGTTAATTACATCATACATCCTCAATCTATGACTCTCATTTTAAATTAGTCCCTAAATTTTTAAATATTTCAATTTCATCCTTAAATTAAGACTATCATTTTAAATTAATTCTCAAACTTTTGAGCATTGCATTTTCATCCCCAAATTGTAATCTTCATTCTAAATTGGTCCCCGAACATTTTGAATATTTCAATTTTATCCTAAATTATATGTGTACACTAATCACACATCTTGTTAATAAAATCATTAGGTCAAGTTATATTATTATATATTTAAAAAAATAAATTTAGGTTAAACTATGGTTGAAAAGATTATGTATTTGGATGAATTTGGGGATGAAATTAGGAGATCTAAAAGTTTAGGGACTAATTTAGAATGAGATTCATAGTTTGAGGATGAAATTAGAATGTTCAAAAGTTTAAGGAATAATTTGAAATGAGGGTCATATTTTGGGGACAAGTAATGCAATTAACTCATCTTAATCATTTCAATAAAATTATATTATTTAACAGACAAGTGTATTTTGTTTTATTTGTAATTAAAAATATTATGACTTATTAACCGAACACGTCTGGCAAGATAAATAATGCTATTTTAAAATGAGTGAAGAGCCGTTAACTATCGGGAACAGAAGGATTTATTCTCTGCTTCAATCCTGTCCACTGATACTCGGTTTGATGCTGTGTTTAGGGTTTATAGAAAAGCAAAACATTATGAGGTAATCAGAGTTTTCTATTTATACTTCGAATTCGATCCGAACCGAAATCATTATATTCCTTCCATTGTTGTTATGAATCAGGTAAAAAAATGCACAAAAAATATATGATAAATTCAGCTATGAATTCTGTCATGAAATGAAGACGTCTGCAAAATTGGAGCAGGGGTAACTCTTACTCTCCCATCAAGTGTGACTGTCGAAAAACTTCTCGATTGCAACTGAGAATGCAGCAAAGGCAACACATGCCGCTTTCGGACCGGCTGTAAACACACAACATGGATGAGATGTCAGACAAATCATGGAACCCGAAACAGAATGAAACTGTGAACATCATAATCTAACATTTGACGATGAAATCGGAGATCATAGGTAAGGGAAACGATGCAAAGCTAAGACATCGTCGATAAGTATTTGTGGGACAAACCACCACTTATATGAGCATAACGCTTACTTAAAAGTAAAAGGTTCATTCTTCTCCCTGCATGTATCAAAGACAACCGTAAGGCTCAACCTAAGGCAAACACTGAATTGTCTCGTCTCTAAGACTCTAACATAATAGCCTGAGTGAGTATTATTTTGCAAACTCCAAAAATTCTCCCTGCATGTTCAAGTATATTATAGATCAAAGACATTTTACACGAGTGTATATCGGCTTCCATCTAGCGACGCCAGATTCTCACAGTTTTCGGGAAATTGCGCTATGCTAGTAACATTCCAATCAAGCTTCTCATTTTTGTTGTCTAACGAGTTGCTTCCATTATGAATTGTTAATAATCAGTTGGATGGTTGATGTAATTTCATATACTCCAAAGCAAATGCATGTATACACAAGAACAAAGGCATCGGCAATTCAGCATCCACAACCACGATACTTTGCAAGCATAACCAAAAGATATTGCAACATTGTAAACTATGAACATACTTTCTCACAAAATGAAAGGATTTTACTTTTAGCCCTTAGAAAAGGTCAAGTACGACATGTCCGACAAAGTAAAGGATTGTGGACAAACAAACAAGCACAGAGACTGCAACAAACAATATCATCGGCACATGCAACATGTTTCTGCATCCTTTAAACATACTGACAAGCATAGATGGTAAACAAATCGTGCACTACATAGAAGTCTGCTCATCACAAAGATCAATCCCATTCATCTGAAGTTTCATGCTAAGAACAACCAAAATTAATCAGGAACTGAAATAACAAAACTTTTCATATAATAAGCACATCAAAACTGATTCTAAATTAAATTGCCACTTGTTTTCTATGCTAACTAAGATATGAACACCGAACCTTACAAGCATTTATACGCTTAAATTGTTTTTGTCTTCTTGATGTTGCTATGTTCGTTCCTTTTTTCTAATTCCTTGACTTGGTTTGATGTCTGCTCTTTGCAAAGTTGTTACCAGTGAGAATTACCGAACAGTATTCAATGTCATCATATGCAGATACCGAATTTATATTTTTAGTTGTTTAAATATCAAGGAACAGTATGCTTTCTTTCCATGAGTTTAGTCCAAAGCAATCTTCTGTCTTTGTGGTTTCTGTGTAGAGACCATTCTGCAGTTTTCCGAATTCCTGATAGACAGCAAAACACGATCGAAAAATAAAATATTTGCTTGCATACATGATCGAATAATAAAAATGTGGAGTGCGGTGAACTGGAAATTCAACTCAACTGGATTGACCTTCCCGGGTCTAAAGGTGTATGAAATTCATAAAATGCCGTATCACTATGTTTCACTGAAGGTTCCGGAGCTTCCAGTACGGGATGCCTAGTTGGCTTCATGCTGACAATAGTCTGAATATGTAGTCAGATCTATTTCTAGTAGCAGCTGAACTTGGTTCATATATAGGATTGAACAAATTTTGGTAATCATCTCACCATTGATACCCCATTGAGGTAATTACGTTTTGTACAAAATTTTCTAAGCTTCTCCGTGAGAAGCTTTTCCTTGTTAAACATTCTTCAATACGTATTTTTCGTGCCTTTTTCATACCCATTTTTGCACAATATGTTGTATTCTTTCAATTGCTATGTGCATGAAATCTTATTTACAAAAGGTATTTCTTTTCCTTTTCTTTTGTCTGAGACCCCTGTATCCGATAATCAAATGAACTTCGATTATATTCGGAGTTGAGTTGGATTGAACCCCTTGACGAGGGACAAAGCACTCTCGACTCAAACTCCTTGTTACAACTCCTATTTCAAATCAACAAATCACGTTGTCCTATTTTTAATTAACCCAATTATTTGACAATAAATGATTTATTACCAGTTGTTGGGAAATTAACAGAGTACTCTATAACCAGATTAGTGAGAATGCGAAATAAAAGCGGAAAAATAATACCCGAAATTGATAACGGAGTTCAGCCAATTTTGCTTACGTCTTCGGACTGCTGTAGATATTTTACTAGAGAGAAAATTTACAGGTGTTTACAAAACACTCACTACTCACAAGAAAGCTCTCTAGTATTGAGAGAAATAAATGATTTGGGATTTTGGTATGATTTTGAAGCTAAATGAGCTAGGGTATTTATAATTGAAACTTAGGGACTAATCTTTGAAAATACCCTAAAGTGCAATGACTAAAGTGAATTTACCCATTCCTATTTTCAACAATCTACCAAACTTTACAAAACTTTGAAAAACATTTTTCAAAGAAACATTTACCAAACTTTGAAACTAACTTTTAACAATCTCCTACTTGAAGACTGATTTTAATCTGTCTTCATTACCTCGATCAATGCAGCAGTATTTCTGGTCTTGTTATTCTAGCATGCCTACTAAAGCTGAACACAACTTCAGTTTGTCCGTAGTCACCGTCTTTGTCAACATGTCTACCGGATTTTGAGCTCCACTAATCTTTTCAAGTTTCAAAATCCCATCTTCCAGAAGAGATCGGATAAAATGATATCTCAATTGTATGTGCTTCGTCCTGGAATGAAAAGACGTATTCTTTGCTAGATGGATAGCACTTTGACTGTCGTAATACAAGACATTGTTTTCTTGTTTCTTGCCTAACTCTTCTAAGAAGCTTTGGAGCCAGACCATCTCCTTGTTGGCTTCCGTAACAGCGACATATTCTGCTTCAGTTGTGGAGAGAGCAACTATCTTCTGTAGTTGAGAAACCCAACTCACTGCAGTTTCTCCTAGAGTATAGACATACCATGTAGTGCTCTTTCTGATGTCAACATTTCTGGCTAAGTCAGTATCTACATAGCCTGTCAATATCGTATCTCCACCTTTGAAACAAAGTGCTTTGTTTGTGGTACCTAACAAATATCTGAGGATCCATTTGATTGCTTCCCAGTGTACCTTGCCCGGATTATTCATGTACCGGCTAACAGCTCCCACTGCTTGAGCAATATCTGGTCTGGTACAAACCATGGCATACATTAGACTTCCAATTGCTGAGGCATACGGCACCTTCACCATGTGTGCACGTTCTTCCTCCGTCTTTGGTGACTATTCTTTGGAGAGTCTGAAATGAACACCTAAAGGTGTACTTACTGGTTTAGCATCTTGCATGTTGAACCTGGAGAGTACTTTGTTGATGTACTCAACCTGTGATAACATCAAAGTCCCCGACTTTGTGTCTCTCTTGATCCTCATCCCAAGAATCTACTTTGCAGGGCCCAGATCTTTCATTGCAAACTGCTTCGACAATTTTTGTTTCAAGTTTATAATCTCTTGCATATCTCAGCCTGCAACGAGCATGTCATCAACGTACAACAATAAAATAATGAATTTATTGTCGAGCCTCTTGATATAGCAACAATGATCTGCTTGGCATCTGGTAAAACCACTGCTACTCATGAAGCTATCGAACTTCTTGTACCACTGTCTAGGAGCTTGTTTTAAACCATACAAGCTCTTCTTCAACCTACATACCAGGTTTTTCTTGCCTGCCTTTATGAAGCCTTCTGGCTGCCTCATATAGATTTCTTCCTCCAAATCACCATGAA